ACTTAAGACTAAGACATTTTCTGTGGGTCTCAGTGTCTTCACTGCCAAGCTCTGAAGTTCCCCCTGATCATGTCACCAGGTCTATTGTAAGTCTTACATAAATGTAGATATGACCAAGGTTGCATCTTTATCTTTTGAAAGATACGGGCTGTACTGGTGCTAGAGCTGACCCTAATAGACACCACAGCATGACAGTGCTTCCATGCTTTGGCCACAGGCAGGTCACACCAAATATGCCCTGGGAAAACAGGGTCAGCGCCTCGCCAAGGTGTGCCCAGTACTAGACCAGCCAAGCTATCCCATGCCACTGCCTTCCTCACTTCTCAGCGAGCCTCTGGGCTGAGATTAGGGCTACAGTTTTGCTTGCTTAAGTGATATTACACTGAATCAGAAACTGAAAACAAAACTTTCCAGAGTTAAAAAAAATTGAAAGGAAACAATCGCACTTCTGGATGGGTAGGTGGCCTTGCCAGTGGGCTGCTGCCTCAGAGACCCAGTGAGGGCTCCATAGAGCTGTCTGTCTTGCTCAACTTTTACCTCCTTGGCTGCTGCCTGCCCCTGGGGTGGCACTAGAGTCCTCCGGCAGTGACAAGAATTTCCTTGTAGCTAAAGATGCAAACTTAGCAGCTACAGCTAGGAGTAGGGGGAAGTGAGGTTTAGACAGTTTGATGGAGGCCCAGTCCTGAGGTCAGTTCTGCTCTGACTCACCCTCTTGGCCCAGCTGCAGTAGGGCTGGTCTGCTGCAAGCTCACTGTTCTTTCCTACCTTAAAGCCTAGGTCATGGGCTTCTCATTATCTGTGTGTTCCCTCTACGTCCTGCTAGCAGGAGGGCTGAAAACTCCAGATTCCAGAAAGGGAAGGGTTAAAGTGGTCCTGTTGGGAGAGCTCCAGTTCCTCCCACATGCTGGCCTCAGAGCAGCTCTAGGACTTAAGCCCAACACCTGGCAGCTGGTCTGTAGGGCCCTTCTTAGGAGGCATTTGCCAACTTGCAATCTGGGCCACAGTAGTTACAGGCTAGCTCTGGCTGCTTCCCCTGACTTTTGTACACCGTTGGCCAGTTTGCTCATCTCTTTCCCAAACTTTGTGTGGCCTTTATGGTCTGAGACCTTTAATGTCTCCTGTTGGACTTCTGTAGAGGCTAGGGACTTGGTGGTTTTATAAAGAAAGGAAGCAGCAGGTCATAGCTTTCTGCTCCAAAAGTATTTAGCCAGTCAGCCAAAAGTATTCAGCCATTTAGGTATGGAATATAGGTTGAGAAGAATAAAGCTGACTCCCTGATGATCTGATCTGGTTTTGTGAGAGCTAGGTCTCTCTACTAGGACTGTATATCTTTACAGTGTCTCTGGGCTTATGGCAGGTAAATCATGAAGAGAAAAATTCTTTAGGCTTCTAGAAAAAAAGAAGCCCAAAGCCTTAAGACTCATAAACAGATAGGCAGCAATGGCTAAGGCTAAGGATTCCCTTTGGGTGGGCTGTGTCAAGGTCTGAATTGTACACACTCCTAAGCTATAGCTCGGTGAACTATACTATTCTTCATACTTCTGGGGCTGCCATGCAGGGCCTACCTTCCTAGTGCCCCCTCCTGGCTTTCAGTGTTGGATCATGTTGCTACGTCAGCATTTCTTTCCAATGTCAGCATCTCCCTCCTCCTCCATACATACTGTAAGAGGGAAAACATCTGGATAATGATAAGAAAAAAAAAGAGCCAAAACACTACGGTCTTTATTATCTTATGTGCCATGAAGAATTTTATACATGTTGCATATCTTATTCAATGCACAACCAATTGTAAAAGGCAGATGCCATTATGCCATTTTTCAGATAAAGGAAGTGCACTCAGAAAACTTGCCCCAGGTTAGGGGCTAGGAAGTAGCAAGTCTAAGCTTTAAAATAGGCAAGCTGGATTCAGAAGTCATGTTTCTAAACATTATGCAAAACTACCTGCTGGGACAGAAGAGAGACATGATTGTTCAAGACTTAAGAAATCCCACAGCAGAACCAAGGCAAAAACTCAAGTTTGCTGACTCTCTGCTTACCTGCTGGCCTGGAGTATCTCCCTTCCTAGTGATGTGTGTGTGTGGTATGGTTGACTGGAGGAGAGAAAGCTAGGGAGAGAGTGGGTGGAAAACTCAAAGGCCTCAGGGTACATTAATGCCTAACTTTGTCTATTTTCTGCCTCCCACATTCATGAGAGCAGCCTCTGACCTCATACCTCTGGTTAACATCAGGACTGTACATGAAGTGGAAAGAGCCAGGGCTTAATGTAGGAAGCAACTGAACAAGATAGGGCACATCTCTACTCCGGGCAGGGCAGAAAAGCCAAGGCTCTGAGGTCAGGTAGCATCTTGTTTTATGTTTGTGATTCCTATCTTATTCCTGAATCCTTTCACCCTGGGGCTTCCTAGTACCTCCGAGCTGCCAAAGTCTGTTGATTCTCTAAGGTTCCCTCCTTATAAATTCATAGCCTGCAAAGTGTTTCCTGAATCTTTGTCAAATTCTACCCTCATATTCATTCCATTTGATTTTGTCTTAGTTAAGTGCTAATAGAGAAAAATATCATTTGAGAAAGCTGATGAAGAGTTTGCAAGCCACTGTCTCTATAAGAACTAGGGACTCCACATCCACAAATCAGCCAACGACAAATGCTGGAGGGGATGTGGAGAAAGAGGAACCCTATTACACTGCTGGTGGGAATGTACACTTATACAACCACTTTGGAAAGCAGTCTGGAGGGTCCTAAAGATTGACCTCCCATACGACCCAGTCATACCACTTCTAGGCATCTACCCTGAACAACAGGAACCAATATACAAGGACACGTGCACCTCCATGTTTATTGCAGCACTGTTCACAATAGCTAGGATATGGAAACAACCCAGATGCCCCACCACAGATGAATGGATCCAAAAATTGTGGTATCTATACACAATAGAATATTATGCAGCCATTAGAAATGACAAAATAATGGCATTTGCAGGGAAATGGATGGAGCTAGAAGGAATCATGTTGAGCGAGGTAAGCCAAGAGCAAAGAGACAAACGGTACATGGTCTCCCTGATAAGTGGATGCTAAATCCAAAATGTTAGGTGATACGACAAAACTAACAGGACTTAAGAAACAAAGAACTCCCACTCATCTGGTCGAACCACTACTAAATATCCCCATGCAGCTGATCACATGTATGGTGTATATGTGTACACCGTTATATGTTATAGATTGTGATAGACAATTTGCTCCAGGAAAGTTAGAATGAACTTGTGACTTTAAATGAGCATCATTATTCCACAATACTGTGAAATTCAAGAAATTATGTAATCACTTAATCATAATTAAAAAAAAAAAAAAAAACCTCGGGGAAGGTAGGGAGGGAAGGGATGGTAGGGAGAAAACAATGGAGGGGGTAACAATGCTCAATAGGAAGTGTACTCATTACCTTACTCATGTAACTGTAACCCTCTGTATAGTATCTTTACAATAAAAAAAAAAAAAAAAAACTAGGGACTCTTAAAGGCAAGTTCCATGGTACTGGGTCTAGTTTTAACCTGACAGGGACTTGGCAGGAGTTGGAGGTAGCTTAGATGGAAAGCTGACTCCCCAGGCTCCCCAGGGAACACCTAATTCTGCTCTTTCTTGAACTTGGTGGTTTTGTACTCTTGCCCAAACTACAAACCAAAACTACACCTTTTCCTCTCCTGGCCTGCCTGTCCTCAGGCTCAGCTCTGGCTCTTCTAATCACTGATGAAAAGTTACCAGAGGGTCTGAGTAGAGAAGTCACATTATTTATTTATTTAACTCCTTGATAACGAGATACAGTATGGGGAGTGGATTACCAGAAAGAGGGAAGCAGAAAGGCATAACTTGCTCTGTAATAATCCAGGTGAGAGATGATGATGGAGGTAAGGTGAGAATGGTGAGTAGTAAAAGCTGGATGTAATAATTGAGATGCCACAGAGAGACAAATGATGCATTTTTTTCCTCATATGCAGAAGCTAGATCTAAAATACACAGGGACATGATAAATTATATAGGACTCTAGGCATTCATACAGGTTAGATCCACCTGGGAAAAGTGGCTTCTTCTCTTCATTTTCTCTCCATGGGAAATCACAAGTGGACCCCTTTCCCTCTGGCCTCTGTGCAGGACTGCATGTGGCCCTTCTTAGAAGTCCCCCCAGCACCTGTAACCCAGGTCACTGGTGCATATGGGGGCAGTGGGAGGTCCCCCAGGCTGAGGTCACTTCTTCACTTTCTGTGTAAGGCTCCTTCTCACACTCCCCTATATAATCTCTCCACCATTAGCTCTCTCTCTGGACACTTACATCTGGTGCAGGCCAGCAGTTTGGTTCTCCTAATAAACTCTCACAAAGGTGCAATGCCTCTGTGCCTCTGATCATATAAAATAATATCTATCAAAATGAACTCCAGGAAATGGAAACATGATTTTTTTTTCTTTTTGTCCTTGTGTATCATCTTTATGATAACAAAATTTTTAATAAAAAAGTAAAGCTGTCAGAAACTTCTGTTTGCTTACAAAGGCATAGGAAAGATTTCAAGGTTTGGAAGAAGTAATTGAGATGAATAAGACTGAAGATGAACAGAGCTGGGAATAAAATTTGGAATTCAGTTTTAGACATGTTGAACTTGTAATATCCAGTAGGTATCCAAGTGGAGATGCTGGGTAGCAGTTGGATATTTGAGCCTAGTTAGAAAGGAGGCCTGGCCAAGATTACCACTTGGGAGACTAGCTCAGAGGGAACTGAAAGTCTTGAGGCTGGATGGGGTTGCTTAGAAAGGAAGGGTAGAGAGTAGTGTGAGGACTATGGCATGTGCACCTCTATGTTAAGATGTAGGAAGTGAGGATGACCCAACATAGAAGGCTGAGTAGTCAATGAGGAAAGAAAACCAAGAAGCGATGCCTCACAAACACATGAAGAGGGGAAGGCCAGCCACCACCCAAGGAGAAACTGCGTTGCCATCCTTGCCTGGACCCCCACTGACTCCATGCTTGGATTTACTTTGGGCAATGTGGTTGGAATGTATCTGGCTCAGAATGATGATAAATCAAACTTGGTTAAAAAAATTGAAGAGATCAGAAAGGACTTGGAAACCAAGAAGAAATTCCCTAGTTCCTGAGGCCCCTTCCAGCACTGCATTCTGGATACAATGATTCTGCCCAGCTGCCTATGCAGAGCTCCTTTAACTCCTGACCCAAAGCTTCTGTTCTTATCTCGTCTCAGCCATTTCTTCCTTGCTGGACCCTAAGTATTGCCTGAGAGCAGAAAATGGGGCCACCAGTTCACAACTCCTTTCTGCTCCCAACAGCCTGGCTTCTCCCTATCTTCCTTCTATCTACTTGGTAGGTTCTAAGGCTGGAATTATGGTGCTAGATTAGCAAACAAGACATTTAATTTGTAGCTGCTCCTTGTTTCTACTACTTTTTATCAAAAGAAAAATGGATGAGTTTTGTATAGCTGATCAGATATAAGTAATGCTGATTTCATTGTTTAGAAATTATAATGGGTACTTGTTAAACACTTGTTACTACATTTTATTTCAAAATAATTAAAATTAATATGTAGAAGCCGGTTTCTGGTGAAGTATCCATTACTTTATACTATTGTTAGCAGCTCCACAGTTGATAATTTATTTAACCAATAAATCAATTTGTTATTTGCTGAGGAATTACATTTTAAGAATCCTGTCAGAATTGGGCATTTAAAAAATGCAAAACAGTTGTTTTTGTCTCAGAAGAGTTGTTTATTTAGTATGCATGCATTTCCTTCATGGTATATTTGTTCTGATACTTTTTTCCCTCAGAAGAATTGTTCTTGCGACTGAAGATGCAGATGGATAAATAAGAAGTTTCTGGAAAATGAAGTGCTATGACTTTTCACATTAAACCATATTTACATTATTAAAAAACACATGAGAAAGGACAGGAGAGATCAACTGTTACATGCCATCAGGAAGTCAAGCTAGAGACAGATTTGGAAAATGGGTCAGAAATCGTGTCATTTCTCTCTGCTGCTGGGAAAGTGGGGTAAAGTCTGACTTGAGTGGGAGTTTACATAGGTTTTACATAACATGGGCTGCATGAATGTAGTTAGAAATAGTCACAGGGGAGATGACTGCAGCTGGGCAAGGGAGTGCAGAGAAGTGAGTGGGTTCATAGGGGACAGAATTAACAGGTCTTGGAAATGGACTGGCTATGGCTTGTGAGGTACAGAGGAGTGAAACACGTTATCTCTGGCAGAAGCTATGTGGGTGTGCCTGAATTTCCTGCAGTAAGAAATAAAGGTGGCTGAGCACCTATAATCCTAGCTACTCAGGAGGCTGTGATCTGAGGATTGCAGTTTGAAGCCAGCCTGAGCAGGAAAGTACATGAGACTCTTATCTCCAATTAACCATCAGAAAACTGGAAGTGGTGCTGTAGCTCAAAGTGGTAGAAAACTAGTCTTGAGCAAAAAGAACTCAGGGATAGCACCCCAGCTCTGGGGTTCAAGCCCCATGACCGGGGGACTGGGGGTGGGAGTGGGGAGGAAATGAAGGGGGTAGAGAGGATATTTGAAGAAAGACAAGAAGTTCAAAATTTCAGTATAACGAATTGTTTGTGCCATATCCAAGACAAGATATCTAGGATGCAATAGGATCCATGTGTCTGTACCATGGGAAAGAAGTCTAGATGAAGTTAAGGATTTTAGAAGCTACCAATAGTAAATACTAGAAGTAATCTAAGTGGTTGAAATGTTCTTGAGAGAAAACCTTACATGTTGTGTGGACATGTAAACTATTGCTGTTCTCAACTACTTTTCTTCCCTTTAAACTGATAAAGCTAGCAAGCATGTTCTACCTCCTGAGGTTTTCTGTTGTGGCCCTTCTGGTACTGAATTTTGAACAATGTTGGGCAAACTGTGAAGATAAGGGTTGCTGTAACTAGGACTCAGAATGAATGAAGTCCAGGGAGAGCAGTGTATAAGATGTATATAAGATACATTGTCTCAAAACTTAACTTGCCCTTAATTGAAAAATTTTTATTTCCCCTTTTAAATTCATTTAATTGAAGTTTTGTCATAGAAATAACACAATAGTGGATTTAGAGTCCTTTACAGTTTAAACTATAAAACTAGATAGGTGATATGACTATCTTCTAAAGGGAAACAGGCCAAGGGCATGCCAACTATGGCAGGATATAGTGGGTTATCTGTATCCAATATCTGTTCCCAGTCCTTTTTTTCTTTTTAGTGTACTGGCACCTGAACCCAGGACCTTCTACTTGCTAGACAGGTGCTCTACCACAGTGCCATGCCTCCAGTCTGATGTTTCAATTTTTTTGTTAGTCATGAGGCTTGAACTCAGGACCTGGGCTCTGTCTCTTAACTTTTTTGCTCAAGGTTAGCACTCTACCACTTGAGTCATAGCACCACTTCCCGTTTTCTGGTGGTTAATTGGCCTTTCCTGCCCGGGCTGGCTTGGAACCTCCTGAGTAGCTAGGATTATAGGCATGAACCACTGGCGCCCAGCTTCAATTCTTTTTTTTTTTTTTTTTGTCTTTTCTTTCTTGGTACTGGGGATTGAACCCAGGACGTTGTACTTGCTTAGGCAAGTGCTTTGCCATTGAGCTACACCCAGCCCAATGTTTCAATTCTTTGTTGAATTTGAACTACATGTTTAGAAGGCCCTGCCCCACCATGGAAGATATAACCTGAGCTCAGAGTGAACCACAGTGGAGGATACTAAAACATCCTCCAGGTCCTCCTACAGCCCCCTAAAGAAACCCCTTTTATTTTTTTTTCCTAAACTAATTTCACAGAAACACCCAAACTTTGTAACCTCCATGGCACTATCGGTCACAGCCATCCAGCTGGGCTCCATGGCCCAGCTGCTCTGCAGGGTCCTGCCCTATGGGAAGCCTGGAAAGTTGTCAGAACCCACACCCGTGGCTTCAGCCACGGTTCCTCCAAGAGGTCCGAACTTTGTGCAGGCCTTTCCCTTGTTTTCTTGCTTTAGTTTAGGACTCTGGCTCTACTGAGAACAGAACTACATGTTTTCAGCAAAAAACATGTACATGTACAATACTGCACACATTAAAAAAACCCCAAAAACTTTGTTAAGTGACCAAGGCTTTTAAAAAATGAGGTGAAAATTCTTATTTGTCCCTCCCCACACTTTGTATCTCATATTTGAAGACCAAAGATCATTTCCTCTGGGGAATAGGCACATTATGAAGCTATAAACACAAAAGCAGGAAAAGCAGTTCTGTTTGGCAGTTCAGGCAGAGGCTTATAACCTCCTTTCCTGTGGCTCATGACTCACTGACCCTTCACCCACTTGGCCAGGAAAGGAAACCAGTAAAATGCTCAGCCATCTGATAGCTTCTCTGCTGAACCATAACAAACTGAGATTCAATTATAGGTTGGGCAACCTTGGGTGACTTAGCCTTATATATCTCAGCTTATTTATATATAATGTGGAAATAGCACTGCCTCCTTGTAGGAAGTGCAGAGCCTCAGTTTCCTTGCTGTTACCATCTTGATAAGGAGTATCCTCCAGGGGGGCTGATGTATTTTGATGGTCCCTAGATGGTGGCACTGTTCTGGGAAGTGGGGGAAACCTTAGGAGGTGAGGTCTAGCCAGAAGGATTAGATCAATGGGAACATGACTTGGAAAGGGATACTTGGTCCCCAGTCCCATGTTCTCTGCTGTCTGCCATGAAATGAATTTCCTGTCACATGCTTCTACAGCCATGTTCTGTCTCACCACTAGCCCAGAATCCAAACTGGACTGAAATCTCTGAAGCAATGAGCTAAAGCAACACCTCCCTCCCCTAACTTTAGTTGTTTACGTCAGGTATTTTGTCATAGTGATGTTAAATCTCACTAATATACTCAGATTTATTAAACAGGGAAGTTAATAGCTATCTCACTGGGTTTTTGGGAGAGTCCAGAGTTTGACATGTAGGTTACTTAGAATGACGCCTACACAAAGGGAGTGTCTGAAGGGGTTATAAGAAACAGACACATTTCACTTATAGCTTGCACTAGTCTGTAATATTTTGCTTTTTTTGGTGGGTGGAAATGGAAGAGTTTGAACTTAGAGATATGTATGTATCCTGGGAAAGTGTTTTTTCCACTGAGCTGCTCAGCCTTTTTAGGTCAGTTTTGTTTGTTTGTTTGTTTTGTTTTTGAGGAGGCTCTTATGCTTTTGGCAGGGGCTGGCCTTAGACCATAATCTTACTTCCCCCGGAATTAAAGGCTTAAGCTACTACACCTATAGCTTACTAACTTTTGTCTGGGCAAGCCTGGAACCCACTGCTCCCATCTTTATTTCCTGCACACCTGGGATGAGAGGTGTAAATCACTTTATCTGGACTTTAAATTTTTAAAAAAATTTTTAATTATAAAGGTGATGTACAGAGGGGTTTATATAAATCTCTTTCTCTCTCTTTCTTTCTCTTTCTCCTTTCCTTTCTTTCTTTTTTCTTTTCTTTTTCTCTCTCCCTCCCTCCCTCCCTCCCTTCCTTCCTTCCTTCCTTCCTTCCTTCTGTCCTTTCCTTCTCTCTCTCTCTCTCTCTCTCTCTCCAGCTCCAAGAGGCAGGAGTTTTGTGCCCAGTTTACATAGGGTCTGGAATGACACCTGACAACACAGTACTATTCCAGGAATTCTTTGTCCACTGTATCACTGCACTTACTTTTTCAAAGTCACCAATGACCATATTCATTCAGCACCCATGAGAGCGCTTAACATTTAAATCAGATATTCTTTCTTAACACTTTCCACTGAATCTTTAGATTTCAACCTTTTTTCCATGTTTCACACACCTTGTGTGGTGAGGGCCCTTCACCTTCATTATATCAGTTGCTACATTACAGTGTCATTGGTTTTGATCATATCAAGCTCTTGTCATCTCGAGGGCCTCTGTGTTCTCTCTGCCTGAAAATTTCTCCACGTTCTTTACAGGGTTGGCTTATTCTCAGTATAGTATGGCAATCAGAAATACAGATTTTTGCAATCAGACTTTCTGGGTTCCAATTCTGGCTCCAATACTACCTGTGTGACCTGGAAAGACACTTAGTCCCTCTGTGCCCCAGTCTCCTCATATTAAAACAGGAACAATAAGGCTGAGGGAGCATGGCTGAAGGGGTATAATACCTATCTAGCAAGTCCAAGACTCTGAGTTTAAATCTCCTAGGTTTTGCCTCATCAGGCTGCTAAATTAAATGATTTAATATGAACTGCTTGAAATGGTAGCAGGTATATGGAAAGCACTATCTGATTGTCATCTTTCAGATTGCACATGGCCTCTTCAGAGACTAGGTTCCCATCTACATTTTGTACTCATTGCTTTCTGTGAGCTTAATTTTTCAAGTATAAGTTTCTTGTTATTATTAAGGTGCTG